CGCGGATGACTTCTACCAGAACTTGACGAGCGAGGACTCGAAGGTGACACCCCCATTAAATGACTGGACTGGCGCGACTGACAGTGACGATTAAAGGATAAAGAATAGAGTTTTCGCTCCCTCCCCCTGCCCATCCTCGTCTGGGATGCGGCACGCACTCTACTTCCACACAGAATCGCAGTGGCTTATTGAATGCATGTGGCCTGCACAATGAATTGCCTGTCCGCCCTATCCGGTGTACAAATTAGTGTCCCTAACCACCTGGATGGATTTGATGCCAGCTCACCGTCCCAGGAGGGTAGAGGGCTTGGTTGGGCGGAGCCCCTATCAGGGATTCGACCCCGGACGCGCGCAAAGTAAGCATGCCACTTGTCACATCACCACCTCCGTCTGTTGTTTAGTACGGTAGTTCTGACCGGTTGATCCACCCGTAAAATAGTAGTCCAAGTAACTTTACAGTCAAAAAATTGTGGTGCTCCATAGGTGAAATACTGAAAGTTTGACTGAAATTTCAAACCTAACCTTGACAAGCACTTGGTTCAAAGCGACTGGCATCAAATAATTCCCAGCTCGAATATTTTCATCCAGCTGATATCGGTTGGTGAGACGCATTTGAGAATTGTGACGCTGTCGGTATGAAGACTTGTTGAATGTAAGAATTACGATAAGTGCCTGGAAAAGCCTTTCGATCTTCAAAATGTTCAAAATCATGCTAAAATAATAAAATATAATCAACGGGGACAGCACCCTTGTCGTTGGTTAGTCCCTGTTAGGGGTGCGGCACGCATTCTACTTCCATTCAGAAATGGCTTAATAAATGCGATATGGCCTATACAACGACCAGCGGGGCCGCCGCTGTTGAGTCTATGAGTACTAATTTCCCGTGTTGGGAGGGTAGAAGGCTTATTTGGCTTCGGCGGAAGCCGATCCGAGATTTGTTCCCAGGGCGAGCCGTGGTCGGTGTGCCACTTGCCGCTACACCATCTTCGCAATGGGGCACACTTGTTGTCAATTTCCTTTTACTACTTCTACTCACCAGGTTTTCTGGTATGTCCTTCTAAAACTTATCGAATTTTTCCCCTAAATCCCTGGATCCCGCTCCCGCCCTTTTGAGGTGCTGAGCTGGCCCGTACTTTTTTATGACACAAAATTTTGAATTAAGCAGGGTGGGGTCTCCAACAGCTTTCACCCCATTTATGAAGAATTCGCCACTCTTTGAGGCAGTACACCTCGTTTCTGTAGAGGGTGCTTGATTTTTTTTAGAGCCGCTAAACTGGAGTATCACCAGAAAACCATCAAAAATGAGCATTATTGACAGTTTCTTCTCTTCATTCTCAGTCGAGATGCCGAAACAGACTTTCAACAATGACATATGTGACTCTCAGTCGATTTACCGGTGAGGTTGTGGAACTACCAAAACAGCAAAAAGCCTCCCTCCCCTCTCCAAATAATGGCCTCCGTTGCAGTTGCGGATTGTAGTGCCTCGTACAAGTAGAAGGGTACGGCTACATGTAATTGTAGAAGGCGTCTTTGTCACTCACCGCAAATGAGAACACGACGAGCGCGAGTTCCAGTACTAACAGATATCTGTCGAAGTTTTCTGCTATAAATAATGAGCTCATTAATCATGGAGGCAAAGAAATTACAAGAAAATTCGGCACAGTACGGCTTGGTGGGGGCAGTTTGCGGGTGTACAGTGGTGTCACTTCCGAGGCACTCTTTGGAGACGTGTGAATTCCGCTCCGTTTAAGCTCGACAAGAATCTATAGATGTCACTGAGAAGTGCAAGTTCACAGGAACTGACGAACGAAAATAGCAAAAGTATTGAAAAATGCCCCCCTCCGCCCCTGCCCCTAAGTCGAACAGCGCCGAAAATTCTGATGAGAATCACTGTGACCTACCTGTGCCCGTATAGCGTACAACAGTAATGAGGGCCGATATAATCGTCTGAAATGAGCAAAACTTGTGTGGAAGAGATGAAGCTCGGGCACAATTGGATTATCACTTAAAGAATTTTTCTGCTGAAATTCTGCTCAGGGGTAATTCAATACCCTGATCCCGAATAGGGAAGTTCAAAGTTGGAGGCCCTCCTTCCTAAAAGAGAAGAGGAGTAACACGTGGGAAGGCGCGGCTCCTTCTTCGACTTAGCATGAGGGGGGAATAAAAGAATCACTTTGCCCTTTGAGAGTACACTGAGAGTACAAAATTCTTTCCGCACTGAGTGAAGAGGTCATTGTATGCCTGAACATGCAACGAACTTTTCTCTATCTTCAGGAGCTATCAGCACGACGTGCCTGAGATCACAGGGAGCTTGAGGTGCAACTCGACTTGCATGCACGATTCGAAATAGAAATTTACTATGGCAAAGGTCGAGGTCTCCGAATCGTGAAGGCAGTGGGCACGGTGGCTTGGGGCAGGCGGTTGCTGCCGACGTCATTGGTGGATTGGCTGAATGGCTGCGGCCAACGGCCTCCTCGCGCAAAGTAATAGATGGTAAAATTTAAAAAAAAGCAGAAGTCACGCTTACTGTAGCAAAGAAGGCCAGAGTTGGAACGATAAGACCAGCGAATCGCTTCTCATAGACATCAACAAATACCAAAGCGATTGCCCTTTCGATTATCAAAAACACCCATGAAAACGTATAGAAAGAACTAAACGTCATATGGACCATTGCTGCAGTTTTCTGTAATGAAAGAAGATACCGAAAGGTTTCATAATTGCACAAAATGCAAAATAAAATAATACCATATATTGCTGATCATATAATCCAAGGCAGCTAACAAATAATATTATTTTGATTATACGGGCTAAGTCATACATCAAGTACCCAACAGACGTGATAAATAACATGATTCTGAAATGGTAAAACTTCCTCATAATGCCTTTTCAATTAGCATTACCTTCAGTAGAATGCTACATTGTAGATACTCATCGCTTTTACCAATTGTACCCCGGTTGATCATGACGCTGACTGCATGTTCATACTGCTTTCGCAGAATAAAAGTCCCCGAGGCGTAAGTTTGGGCCGCAGAATTGAAGAGGTGGACACAATGCCGGGTGTTCTTCGTATTCCTCGCTACTGTCACGACGTTTTTAAGTGCTTCCCAAGCTGCTCGATTGGTACTGCTCAGCTGTGATGCTTCATCAACACGATGAATGATCTAACATCAGCGGCCCTTGTCCGGTGGGAAATTTGCGGAGCAGCAGTCTGCAGAAATCTCGCAATGACTTCAACCCGGGTGTTTCTAGCTTCAGGCCGACGCCATGAACCAACTAAGCTTATAGCGCGACTCGTTGCAAATTTTCGAGCTCTAAAGGCAGTATAACTTGGCGATCGGGGACCGGGCCATATTGTAGGTTTCGTCTATTATCAGGTAATCGAGAACTCTCCCTTAAAGGCATAATACACGCTAATTTGATTCTAAAGTGGTTCCAGGGGTGATAATGGTGGGAATGGCGAAAAAGTAAAGTGAAACGGTCGAAAACATGCAAAAAAACTTTATTTTTTGCGACCAAAAACGTTTATTTTTTGCGACTCAGAAAGCAATTCAGGATGAGTTCCCCGTTGGCTTCCTGCCAATAAGGGCTACGGTAGATACGGTCGTATGCATGTTTTCATATGCTCATGCACCACCGCACCCTTCATATCAATCCCTTCGCTTCATAATGAATTTATGCGTGACTGCGTGACGTGCGCGAGAAAACCATGTTGACCGGTCCACAACAGAGTTCAAAACAGTCCCCGCGCTCAAGCATCTGTAGGCTTCTTCTGGTCCTCAATCTCAAAGATTGCCCCATTTTGGCTGCTTCACAGTAAGTAACGAAGGTACTGAAGCCTTCACAAATAACAGCAAGAAGTGGCAGGATATCGATTTGTTGGCATAATACGGGTAGATCCAGAGATCTCGTCCACAAGGGCTACCAGGTCTTTACTGAGGGTAATCTGGTTTGTTTGCCTTTTTCTTCTCTGGAAAACCACTCAGGGTATGCGCCGGAAGATTGCGTTACCTTCGGTAATTATGTCTCAGAGCATTGGAGCAGCATCAGTGTCCGTGATAGCTGGTCGAAAATAAAAAAAATATTGGTGGAGTATCATCCCTTGATCAGGTCTTGCTTGTTCTATGAACTTGCCCTGGCAAAGTGTGATTAAAGAACGAGCAAATCAGAACCGAGGGATGAGATCTCTCTCTCCTTCTTGACCAAATGGTCCGTCTAGATAGTAGCCTTGATCAAAAGTACCTGAAGTTGATATGAAGATTCTTTTGTGTGGCACATATATAGAACAGCATTGAAACGAACGGTAGAAATATTAAACTTAAGACAACTTCCGAAATATATGCTACTTCGCTCCATCCTTCGAACGGTGGATCGGCCATCTCTGGAATAGAACAGACTGACTCTCTGAAAATCATCTGTTCCATCCACGGAGCGGATCACCTGGCCGAAAACAGTGCATTTGGAAAAAATATTTTCAAAATCTACTTCCTCGCAAAACAAATACATAATGGGAGTCGATCTTGGCTCTTTATGAGCAGAAACCGGACCGCCTTGGAAATACGTCGACAGGGAGCCTCAGAAGGCAAAACGCTTAAAAATGAACAAATTGGGTCAGCCCTTCCATTTGGGCACTAAAAAATTTTCTCATGCGTAAGCCACACCTTCAGATAAACGCAAACAATGAAGATGCCTATAAATAATCTATGACGTCAGCAAAGATCCGAGTGGGTGTGTCTACGGACATGCACGAAAAGCGTGTTAGAGACCCAATAAGAAAAATTAATGGGTAATTCCGAGTGGACACGTGTAAGTAACAACTGTTAGAATTCAATGAAAATGTTCGCAAAGCCGCCTTTATACAATGGTTCGAGAGGCTGCTCTCCTTGATGAAAATATGTTTTTTTGCCCCTCCCTACTCAATTAATTTGTTTTTCAGGAAGAAGAATGAATAAGGGATATGAATTTATAAGCCCATTTACAGTCCCTTTTACCTCTATGGAACACTTTCATGAATGATACAAGGAACACAGACGTGTAGCCGCCTGGCGTAGGTTGTTCATAGACGTAAGAAGGCTGTTTGGTCTACACACGCGAATGAGGAATGTTGTAATGAGATTTCTGTTCATTCAGCCTTGTTACGATATCACGAAAGAATGAGTTTCCTCCAGAGGAACGAGACTGTACTGGAGGGTGTAAACAAGAAAACAGCAAGGAAAACCAGGAAGACATATGTAGCGAAAATATTGAGAGAGTTTTTCTAAGTAGGAAGTTTTATGTAAAAAGTTTTTTTTCTACCTCTGGTATTACTTTCCTAAGCCATGTACTTAGCCCAGATGCGCTAAATAAGGATTAATAAAAAGGATAAAGTATCCGCCTTTGATCAATCCTTTTGTAGGATGCGGCAGGCATTCTACCTCCCTTCAGAATAGTAGCGCTTGATTGAAATCGCGATGTGCCATCGCACATTGATTTGCGCGAGCTCAACCAACGTGGAAACTTGGTGTTTTATAAAACATCGCGACGAATCTTGGTCATCAAATTGTCGTAGCCTGAAGTAGATAGGCGTGGTCTAGCTGGGGCCTGTTCCGGGATTAAGATGCGCCAGATCCGTGCCCCGGATTCATAGCGTGACGTCATCCATGTTTGAAAATAATGATTAGAGTAAAGAAAGACAGTGGTCCGTCGAATATGCTGGTGTCAGTATCTGGCGACAGCGTTCGAAGTCTCAACTCTATTGACGCAGTTAACTTCATCCTCCACGAGTCACCTGCATTTTGCTAGCCGCGCTAATTTCCTTCTTGAGAATTCTGTGCAAGGAATACGGGGGGGGGGGGGGAAAAAGAATTTGACCTGAGTTCACAATATCAGCGAAGTTTTCGCAGCCCAGACAGAGAACGTGGATACGAGTACCAGGGCGGAGGATACCCAAGATGTTCCTCTATAAGCAGGAGCTGGCGCTCGCCCATCGCCTTCATGTACACCAAAATATGAAGTCATCTCCAGCCGCAACCTGACTGGAGAAGACCTTCGGAATTCATGTCACCTCCGAACAGCTGCGAAACTTCTAGTATGGAGTCACCCATGGAATAGCTACCTGGAGACCAGTACTCTCGATCTGGAAGACCTCCATCATCGAGCAGCTCCGTCAACGTCGCTACGGTCCAGGACATCATCTTCACCCCAGTCGCCAAGGCGCCAGTTGATGGTAGGGACCGGACGTACCTGGAATAGAGAGACCAATATTTTCTTCGCAGGGCAATGACTGAAGGTGAAACTGGCGGTTACATCGAGCAACTAAAGAAGAATATCCTCTCCACATGCCGTCGCCCGTACCTTCTTGAAAACTTTGTACTGCTACAGCATTGAGTGCCACCACATGAATCGTTAGAGAAACACTCGCCTACTTGGAATGGAAGGGGCGTTGAGACTCTGAAGAAGGTTGGACTATATCTAAGCAGAATCACCTGACGCTGAAGCCACCCAATACGTTGTTCGGGCGGAGTTCAATAGGGTAGTGGTGGGCGGAGAAATCGACTATCTCGCTGATCTCAGGCACCCACTCACGGTCGCGTGGCAGAATCTCTCGATGGCGCTCCTCCAGAAGGCTGTGGCGGAGTATCATAATAGTATTTGATATGCTCTTTAATATGGTGGTGAAAATATCCGATAAGAATTCAATAAAGTGTAACTTAGCAGTGAGCGATCACTTACCTCGAAAATGCAAAAAGTAATCTGCAGTTGTCTCAGTCCACGGATACTCCTGGGAATGTCACTATGCCGGCGTTATTGCAGAATCCGGTAGTCTCATTATGATATGGACAAAAAAAGTGCACTACTATCTATATGCAACATAGAATATATCGATATCTTACTTCCTCCGTCAAAAAACAAATTACATTAATGAGATCGATTTGCTCTTTATGCAGCAAACCGGCCGAGCGCAGCAGCCCTTTGCGTGGAAATATCGGTCGTAATAGATGCTGGTGCAAGCCCCAGAAAGGCAAATTAACACCTCTAAAAAGTGAACGCAATAGGGTCAGCCCCTTCCATTTGGCACATAAAATATTTCTCATAGCGTAAGTCACATTCAGATAAACGCAAAAACAATGAAATGACTTGCCCCACTAAATACGTTGTTATTTCTAGTTGATCACGAGCAACGACTAAGAGAATGCGACGAAAATAGGAGGTGATACAAGAAGCACAAAAATTCCAACGAAACGATGTTAAGAAGAACTAAACAACATAGATGATGAGTGAGAAAGGGAAAAAACATCTATGACGCTAATTCCGAGCGGACCCCACATTAAAGTAGCGCCAACAATGTATTAAATTTCAACTGAGCGAAACTTCGTTCCGCACACTCTCGCTCCTTATAAAAATACACGCAATTCGCGCCACTTTACGAAGCTCGCGCCTCTGCTCCTCCCACCATGAATAACTGTTTTCTTTCGAGGCCACACCTCTGGAATACTAAATAAGCCTCAGTAAAATTGGTTTTTTGCATGAACAGAAGATAAAAGTAGAGAGTAAGTCCGTAGAATTTCACTATAGCCCATTCTAGGTCGCACCACAGTAGCCCTCCTTTCACGCGTAACTTGGGACAACACACTCTACGAGATCAAGAGAAGTATCTGGGATACAAGGACACAGAGCTATGGTAGTTCCAGGGCCAGCCTGCGAAGTTGCTTTCATCGATATGTACTGAGCACAAGTTATAAGTAGCGAGGTAACTTTGAACGCGTGTTCTCGTTGTCTGTATAGCACACAACTTTGAGAATGTATCTCGGTTGCACATATACCTACTCGTAATAGAATTTGTGTCACTCCTAATTCTAATGCTGACATGGCCTACATTCTCCATTAACTCTAGCCAGCAT